CTAATGGTCACAAATATGTATAATTATTTGGTGTTCATGTAGGAAGTAACTACTAAGGTTTATTCCAGGTGAACAATGGTATAAAATGGCTGATGTGAGCTGGTTGTGAATGACCAGTGTGGGTTTACAAAGGAGCAAGCTCAATGACCTGGCATAAATGGCTGTTAGAATTCATGAACATTTGGTAAATTGGTGTCTACATTTAATTATTGTTATCTTGTAATTTAAAAAAAGCTGTGGCAACAACATTCCAAAGAAAGTAATGCATGTCAAAGTGTATTATCCATGAAGTTTTATTTGGAAGCATGTGTTTTCCAGGTCGTTCTTCCTTTAGACAGTTGTCCCTGGAAAGGGAGTCCCTATTGGAAAATGACCCCCCTTCTGTGCTGGTGACAGTATAATTTTGGCTTTCCCTTTCAGATCACTTTTACTCCAGCTTGCAAAATTAACCAGAATAATCTGGAAAGGGTTAAGCTTCCAAGTGGAGAGACAGCCAGTAACAAAATTCTGACAGGGGTTCTAATTCTTCCACATTATATCCAACATTTACAATAAAAAACATTTTTAAAGACCCAAAAAGTTATATAAAAAACGTTCAATTATCCTACCAAGAGAAGAACACAGACTCAGGGCTATTTATAAATAGTCAATGCATTTTCCAGTGAAAATATTCATGATTTTCAATTTCAGACCTGGCAAATTATAAAATGTAAAGGAATATAATATTGACCCTGTTAAAAATAATGTTGATACAGTAACCAAATGTTTTTGATACCATAATGATGCTGATGAATGTTAGGAAATTATTTTTAAACTCTGCAAGTGCACAATAATTTAAAAAAATGCCTCATAAATAATGTGCCAACCCACCATTAAAAAATATGCTCCTAAACTTCAAGTCAACAGGATTAGGATAAAATCATGTGCTTTATAAGCACACGAATGCTGTCAATGAGTGCTGACACCAGAGTCTTCTTTAAACTTAGTTTATTGCACTAAAGACCCTTGTGCTTAACCACTTGCCCTCCTGAGGATTTACCCCCCTTAATGACCAGGTCTCTTTTTGCTACTCGCCGCTGCACTAATTCAACTGATAATTGCGCGGTCATACAATGCTGCACCCAAATGAAATTTACGTCCTTTTTTTCACACAAATAGAGCTTTCTTTCGGTGGTATTTGATCACCTGTGCGCTTTTTATTTTTCACGCTATAGACAAAAAAAATACCAAACATTTTGAAGAAAAAAGATATTTTTTACTTTCAGCTATAACAAATATATAGCAAACTCAAAGTTGGTTATAAATTTAGGCCAAAATGTATTCTGCTACATGTTTTTGTAAAAAAAAATCCCAATAAGTGTATATTGATTGTGTGAAAGTTATAGCGTCTACAAACTATGGTATAGATACTGCAATTTACGCCATTTTTTTGCTATACAGCGCTGCGCTAGTTTAACGGACAATTGTGCGGCCATGCAATAAATGAAATTTACATCCTTTTTTTCCCACAAATTGAGCTTTCTTTCGGTGGTATTTGATCGCCTGTGCATTTTTTATTTTTTGCGCTATAAAAAAAAGGCTGAAAATTTTGAGGAAAAAAAAAAAATATTTTGGACTTTTTGCTATAAAACATGTCTAGTTAAAAAAAAATGTAAAAATCAAATTTAGTCATAAATTTCTGCCAAAATGTATTCTGCGACATGTCTTTACTAAAAAAAATCCCAATATGTGTAAATTAATTGGTTTACGTGAAAGTTATAGCGTTTACAAATGGCGGGAAAGATACTGTGATTTTTAATTTTTTTTATACTAATAATGGGCGGCGATCAGCGACTTATGGCGATGATCAGTGACTTATGGCGGCGATCAGCGACTTATGGCAGGACTGCGGCGGACATTCTGACACTGTGGGGGAACTGACTTGGGGTCACTGACATCCCCAGTGACACCAATACAGTGATCAGTGCAAAAAAAAAAAACACTGACACTGTACTAATGGCACTGGGGAGGAAGGGGTTAACTTTTTTATTTACTGAAAGGGTTAACTGTGTGAGGGGAGTGTTTTACTAGGGGGCGGGGGTGTGTACTGCAGGAGAACATGCTGATCCGGAGAAATAAACTCTTCTCTCCGGATCAGCATGTCAGGAGCTGACGGGGGACTCACAGAAAGCAAGTGTAAACATTGCAGCCGTCCTCTCTGTCAGTGATTGCCGCTAATCGCCAGGATATGGTAGGTAGGTAATGACCGGCCGTGACCCAGCGACTGACACCTGCGGGCCGAGATCGGCGGGACAGGCTAGGGCAGGTACGCTCCTCGTGCATGCCCCCTACCTGTTTTGCAAACGCACGTTTTATTTCTACAGTGGCTGGTCGGCAAGAAGTTAAGCATTTTGTGAAACTGAATGTTTTCCTCCTTACTGGTTTGCTAGTTGTTGCATGGGACATTAACCTGGTGCAGGGGCGGACTGACAACTCATGGGGCCCCCGGGCAATAGCGGATCACGGGGCCCCTGTGTCCTTGCCCAAACTCAAGAAAGCCTATGAAAAAGGTACCAGGGGCATCTCATGGGGCCCCCTACTGACCCCAGGCCCTCGGGCAGTGCCCGAGTTTCCAAATGGTCAGTCTGCCCCTGACCTTGTGTATGCAATTTGTAGACTTTTGGTTTTCTGGTTTGGTCCAGCATTTTTGCATTTTATTTAACTACTTACTTACTTACTTACTTAAATACTTATTTAGTTTTCCTGGAATTTGATGGAGGCAGACATATGGCTTGCATACAGAGTCAGATACATTGCTTCATATTAGATTTCCTGTAAGCAAGTGTCTATCTTCTGTTCCTGTCTCCATTTAAAGGAAACCTGTACTTGGAGAAATATGTAATCTGCATTTGCTGACCTCCTTCTAATTATTCTAGTTATCCAGCCATCATGCTGATCGAATGGCTTGAATGCTTTCTGAGTCACTAAACCCAAACAAGCCATGCACTGCTGTGCATTCACTTGCTGCATGCTGGTTTCAGATCAGTAACTACGAAAGTACTAAAGCCAGAGACAACTAGTTCTTCCAAACGGAAATTAGGAAATGCAGATTTCATTCATGAGTTTCTTTAAACACTATATAAAAAATTGACTTTTTTTCCACTCCCCATTGTCTTTACTGTATACCTGTTCATATGGCAAGAATTAAAAATTCAAGAACAATAGAAGCACATTCATGAAATTGACAAAATATCCAAACTTATACAATACCGTTCACTGTTACTCATATCTTGTTTTACTAAATTATAGCAACTAGAATAATTATTTAAAGTAAAATGAAACAGAGTCAATGGAGAGATTTTAGGATATTTATTTTTAGAAAACCCAGTCTGCAAAACTATAATTCCTCTAAGCCTTTTGCCATCATAAAACTTAACCATGCATTTTAGGCTTTATTGCCTATATTTCTTCAGCAGGTAGAGGAGGTCACAGGGGTTAAAGACTGTCCTGCCTCCAAAGTAGATTGGCAGTGTAAAATATGACCTTCCACAGACACACCAAGGGGATGTAACCATTATGCACATCCTGGATTATAATTACAATATGGATTTCTGTAATATACTGTACTATATTGCTCAACTTAAATGCATTGGCATTGCACAGAAAATGTAGTGTAAAATATAAATGAAGCTAAAGTGTTGAGGTGTAAGTGGATAATCAAAGTTATAGCATTACTTCAAGTGCATCTAAACCCAAAAGCAAAAATATATATAGTATATTGCAGCTTTTCCAATCCTTCGGCGTGATGGCTGCTTTAGTTTTCTGCTTTTATGATTTGTTTCCTTTATTTTATTTTATAGACCTGGTGATCTGGCCTACTGGATATTAAAACCACATCTGTGTGAGGAGTACTGTTATAGGTGCAGAAAAATCTGCCTTAGTCAGGTAGGAAGAATCCGAAGAGAAAATAATAATGTAGTTAACGTAAGAGTGATTTCTTCATATAGGAGAAGAGGTCTATCACCTTAGAACACTAACAAAAAAAAAAAAACAAAGACTTGTGGAGTAAAGAAAGGTTATAGGGGGATGCCCAGGGGTTGTGTCCACAAAAGCTTTGCCAGTGTCGAATCACCTGGAGGTATCAGTTTATAACTCAGGGTCTATGAATATTCTGCCTGTACTTTATAATTAACTGCTTAAGGACCACCCTATAGCAGATATACTGCTACAGGGCGGCCCCCTGTGTGCAGAATCACAGATATATACTTCATTTTGCATTTCCGGGTAGGGGTCTAGCGCGTGACGCATGCACGCCCTACCTGCCCGCACATAGTTAACCATTTGCCCCTCACATTAACCCCTTCCTGACCAGTGCCATTAGTACAGTGTCAGTGCTTTTTTTTAGCACTCATCACTGTATTGGTGTCACTGGAGTGACAGTGACACCAAGTTAGTTCCCCCCAGTGTCAGAATGTCTGCCGCAGTCCCGCTAAAAGTTGATGATCACCATCATTACTAGTAGAAAAAAAATAATCTCATTATCTATACTGCCATTTGTAAATGCAATCACTTTCACGTAAACCAATTTACACATATTGGGATTTTTTTTAGCAGAATACATTTTGGCTTAAATTTATGATGAAATTTGATTTTTAAAAAATTTTTACTGGACATGTTTAATAGCAAAAAGTCCAAAATATTGTGTTTTTCTCAAAATTGATGGTCTTTTTTGCTTATAGAGCAAAAAAATAAAAAAACGTACTGGCAATCAAATACCACCAAAAGAAAGCTTAATTTGTGGGAAAAAAGGACATAAATTTCATTTGGGTGCAGCGTTGCATGATCGTGCAATCATCAGTTAAAGTAATGCAGTGCAGTAATGCAAAAAAATGGCCTGGTCATGAAGGGGGGTAAATTCTCAGGAGGGCAAGTGGTTTGTTTTTGTGAATATGTGGCAAAGTTGTTTACCAGGAGTGCTTGCCAGTAACATCATGTCTTGTTGCAGGCCTGCCAGTAACATCATGTCTTGTTGCAGGCCTGCCAGTAACATCATGTCTTGTTGCAGGCCTGCCAGTAACATCATGTCTTGTTGCAGGCCTGCCAGTAACATCACGTCTTGTTGCAGGCCTGCCAGTAACATCATGTCTTGTTGCAGGCCTGCCAGTAACATCACGTCTTGTTGCAGGCCTGCCAGTAACATCACGTCTTGTTGCAGGCCTGCCAGTAACATCACGTCTTGTTGCAGGCCTGCCAAGTAACATCACATCTTGTTGCAGGCCTGCCAGTAACATCATGTCTTGTTGCAGGCCTGCCAGTAACATCACGTCTTGTTGCAGGCCTGCCAGTAACATCACGTCTTGTTGCAGGCCTGCCAGTTACATCACATCTTGTTACAGGCCTGCTAATAACAGCACATCTTGTTGCAGGCCTGCCAGTAATATCACGTCTTGTTGCAGGCCTGCTAATAACAGCACTTGTTGTTGCAGGCCTGCCAGTAACATCACATCTTGTTGCAGGCCTGCCAGTAACATCACGTCTTGTTGCAGGCCTGCCAGTAACATCACGTCTTGTTGCAGGCCTGCCAGTAACACACGTCTTGTTGCAGGCCTGCCAGTAACATCACGTCTTGTTGCAGGCCTGCCAGTAACATCACGTCTTGTTGCAGGCCTGCCAGTAACATCACGTCTTGTTGCAGGCCTGCCAGTAACATCACGTCTTGTTGCAGGACTGCCAGTTACATCACGTCTTGTTGCAGGCCTGCTAGTAACAGCACTTCTTGTTGCAGGCCTGCTAGTAACAGCACTTCTTGTTGCAGGCCTGCCAGTAACAGCACTTCTTGTTGCAGGCCTGCTAGTAACAGCACTTCTTGTTGCAGGCCTGCCAGTAACAGCACTTCTTGTTGCAGGCCTGCTAGAAACAGCACTTCTTGTTGCAGGCCTGCTAGTAGCAGCACTTTCTAATACAGAGTAACACCAATAAGCAACTGGCAAAAAAGAATTGTCAGCCTCCTGCGGTAGTTCCTTTATTTGACTGTTGGGCTGCCTATTAGGTCTGCATCGTTATGTTGTCTTGAGGAAGGAAGGGATTTTGTGGAAATTTGGCTCTATGACCTTATATGAAGTTTCCTTCACAATAACAATGAACACTGCTGGAGTGCTTGTGACTTCTTGCATCTGCATCTGGTAGGCAGCCCAACGAATTACTGATGAACACGTACAGGGGCCAGTTGTGAGGTAGTGGCTCTGTGTTGTCAGCCTTCAACAGGACATGGTGTTACTGGCAGGATCTATAGTTGAGAAACGTTTTAGGAAACAAATTCACAAAAAAAATCATTCTCTTATGAAAACTCAATACAGTGAAACATGATGCCAAACATACTGGGAACACATTTTGGATTTACATACACGTTAATCATTTTATAATATTCAACAGCAGCAAATAGCTTTATTGCTTTAGCTTAAAATATAGCTAAAGCAATAAATAAAATAGCTTTATTGACAGCTAATAAAAAAATAGCTTTATTGACAGTCCACTGACCCAGGCAAACTCTACAATATGCTCAGCTTCAGCTCAAGTCAAAATCCTATCCCATGCTGCTTCCTATTATGAGCTGACAATATTGCCGCACTACTGCTGTATTCAGGGCAGCGTTGTCACCTCATGTGGGCCTTGCCTGCTGCACAGCATTTTGTAAAGAAGCTATTGCGGTCGCTATCAGCAGAAGATTCTGCAGTGTTTACCAGAGTATCATTTCTACTGGCAATTCACAATCAACTTATCAATTACCAACTGGTCACACCTAATCCTGCCCGTGGAGTTCTAAATTCATAGCACTGCCTTCTGAAACCCTCCCACTGTCATCTGCAGTGTCTGCAAATGGGGGGGGGGGGGGGGGGGGGGGGGGGGGGGGGGGTGAGGTACAAATGGAGGAATTTGCAAACTTAGGGAAGACAAATAAGTTATTTTCACCAATTGTGCATAGCACAGTACTTGGATTTGGGACCTATTTTGACTGTCCCACAAGAGCCTTTAAATGTACTTTAAAGTGTTACTAACCCCACAACAGTAAAATCAGTCTGTATATGCAGTAAAGCATGCTTTTTATACTTACTGTCCTCCCCTTCATCTACTGTCCCCAATCCATCTCCTGATCGAACGGACCCTTGGGGGCAAGCTGCACATGCTCAATTTGGTGTGTATTGCTATAGAGGTTTTTTTTCTTGGGAGAGTGCATGTGATCAGCACAGGGCCAATCAGATAGCAGGTCATGGTTTATGCAGCCTCAAAGGACAGTCAGAGGAGAATGAAAACTCCTTTTACAAGCTTTAACCAGTGCTCTGCTGGACACTGATAGAAGTCATAAGACTGCTGTAACTGCTGATGAGAAAAGGTACTCAGCAATTTATATTTACTAAAATAATTGCATTTCCATTTTCTGTGGGAGATCAGATATAGCGAATGCAGGGTCCTGGGTTTAGTAACACTAACTTTTATTTCCTTGTTGTCATTTATATACTCACTTTCCCAAACAGAAATACTGTGACAGCTTATAATCAATACCTTAATTTACGTATTTCAGGATATGCCTTCAGACAGTATCTACTATGTACACACATCCATGAACAAAAACTATATCTACATATCTAGAATGTCCAGCATGAATTATGATACTGTCCATTTAGAAACACATGCATCCCTCTTGGCAATGTAATATATTTAAAGCAGTCCTAGTGAATCAGCACCTGTACATTAGTGAATTCTGCAGCACTTCCTACATTCATCTCCATGGCAACATAACTAGAGGTTATTTAGCAAATATAAAATGCATAACGGAAACAAACCTATTTTAAAAATGGAAAATTTTTACACTACATTACATTATATTATTCAATACGTACAATTTTGTATTTGTTGAATCAGACTGTACTATCCCAATGACCTAATATGTTACTACAAATATTTAACATTCATTTTCCTTTTAAATACATCTCATTATTATCTAATCATAAAGCTGCCATCAATTTAACCCCTACATGCCGGCACCTCCTGGCCCTTTGAGAGCTTCTAGATACAAGGAGGCGTAGATGGGCAATCGGGTCATGTGACTGCTGTGATTGGCTGTCACAGTGGTCAAATGATCGGAAAGCTTCCAATGTCAAGTATGCATCAAGAGCTTACCAATCTCTGCCTGCTACCGCACTGGGAGCGCACTCTCAGCATGCTAAGTTGTATCTACACCGCCATATAGATGAAACCATTTGGCGTTAATGCCCACCCTCTGAGAGGCCATGAGGCAGCAATGGCAGACTTCCCCTTTAATATGGACCAATGTGGTAGCACCCAGCTAGTGCAAAGTTCCCCTTTAATATGTAAGGTTTTAGCTTGCAGAGTTGAGCTAAGCTCTGACTCCTACACTCACATTTCCTGGTTGCTCTAAATTAGCAGGTGACAGTCTGAGCAGAAACTGCAAATATCCTGTATATTGCTTTTCACAGTTTACAAGAAATGTCAAGAGGAAAATATATGCTTTGTGATGTAATCGCTAGTATATACGCTTGTAAGAAGGGTATACAATTCACTTAGCAGATGAGAGCAGCATGGGCAGTCTGCTGGGTCAAAACAGCGCTGTTTTCAATAAACGTGTTTTCATCAAGAAGTCCGCGTCTGGAGTTTTACCTGAATTTCCAAAAATTGCTACAACAGCCGCATATATGCGCGGCGCAAAGTTGTTAAATCTGTTGGAAAAAAAATAACTAAAATTTAGATGCCAACTTCAGCCTAAACATTTTTTTCCTCGATGGAAAGGATGATGGTAAATAACTGTGTAATATTTTACTACTGTTAGGCTAGCCATGCATACACAGATTTCTCTTATTCAGTCTGTAGGCTAAACAAGAGAACTCTCTTCCATCCATGCTAAACAGCGAGAATGGATGAATCTCTGCTGCTATTGTATAAAAGCAGCCATGGCACCTGTGACTGCTTGAATACCTGAACAGTAACTGCCTCTGAAACAATGCAATCACTGCTCGGCATCAATTTTCAATTTTTTAAAGTTTTTTAGTCGAGCTGGGTGGTGCCAAGTTCCGACAGAGCCATCCACGACTCCAGTTTGGGGCAATTCAGCAGGAATTGGCTAACAATCGGGCCATGTATGACCAGCTTTATCTAAGACCTCATTGGTGAGATTTCTCCTTCTATCCAAACACAATATTTGTACAAGAGCATGAATGATTCATGTATTACATACAGCTTCTATACTGCTGTTTGTAATCATAAGGGAATAAGAATATAAGAGAAAAGGAAAGGCACAAGCATCAAAGACAAGTAAAAAGGGGTTAAAATATGGAGAGGCGCCCCAATTATCCTAATTTACCAGCTCCAGATTGAGTTGTACTGTATGTTTTCAACAGCTCTCAATTAAAGCTGGGAAGACAGTGGGCTGCCCAAAGTATTAAGATCTTTTAAAACATATTTATAGAATCTGACAAAATTACACACATTTCCTTTTTTTGTTATCTTCATCTGTGCCACCCTGTAACTGTAGTGCTCTTCTGGACTTCTGTAACAGCCTGCTTCAATACCAACCACTTTCACCCCCCTCCTGCCCAGGCCAATTTTCATTTTCCAGCACTGTCACACTGAATGACAATTGCGCAGTCATGCAACATTGTACTTGACATTTTTAGCATTGTTTTCACACAATTAGAGCTTTATTTTCTGGTACTGTATGTATTCACCACTGGGTTTTTTATTTTTTTCTAAATAAACGAAAAAGACTGAAAATTTTGAATAAAAAGTTTGTTTTTTCTTTGTTTCTGTTATAACATTTTGTAATAAAATAATCTTCTTCATAAATGTACGCCAAAATGTATACTGCTACATTTCTTTGGTGAACATAACCAAAATCAGTGTATATTATTTAGTCTGTAGGAAAGTTATAGTCTACAAACTATGGTATAAATATGAGGGCTCGGCCTACCCATGAAGCGTTTGTCTTAGCCCAATTTTATTTTTGCTACTCATAGTACATATCTTTGCAAGGTTCCATACCAAATTTCTCACAAATAGCTTCTTTGTTTCAGTTATTGAAGACCGAAGAGCAGAAGGTCATCATTGTCTGAAAGATGGAGACAGTGAGCAACAGCATCATCATATAAGTGGTGTGGCGGTGATCAGGGACACTGGTGACAGAATGTTAAAAATACTAGTAATTTTTTTTTCAATTTAGTTTTCTTTTTTACTACAATTTTTTACATACTTTGACCAGAGCAATATTGTGCCACTGTACTACTCTGGGGAGGTGATCAGGAATTTTATTTTTTTTACAAACTTGGCTTTCTTTAACAGTGACAATCACTGTTATAAGCAACCGTTTTTTTAAATGAATGAAATCCATTCTATCATTGTATTAGCCACAGCTAATCACATGGTACATATGCACTGTGATTGGCTCTGTCTGTACCCTGTGACCAATCACAGAGATCAACATAATAGTACACAATGAATGGCTATGAATGGAAGCTGTTCATTCTGTACAATTGCCATGTGATCGGCTATGATTGGTCACAGCGATCACATGGTACCAGCAGAGGCCCAGTGCACTGATCTGTCATCCACTGTGTCTGTTGGACACAGCGGGTGACAGATCACGGCACAGCGCTGTCCATTGATATTGCACAGAGTGGCCCCTTACCTCCTCTTTTGGGATCCCCCAACAGTGCTGTCCTCTCCTGTCCTGAGTGTGCCCCTGAGCTATGAGGCACACTTGCAGGCATGTTCCCGAGCCAGGCTGTGTGCATACATAGCCACACACAGCACAGCTTGGCCACACCCCCTGATCCCTCCTCACTGGATTTGACTGAGAGAAGCAGGAGCCAATAGCTCCAGATTGGTACATGCTCAATTGAGAGAGGCTTTAGGTAAGTATTTAGGGAAGGGGGGGCAGAAGAAACAGCAG